TAGCATAGTGCCTAAGGCACTTGACTGCTAACCAGAAGGCTGATGGTTCGAACCCACCAGCCACTCCTCGGAAGGAAGGTTGGGCATTCCCACTTCCATAGTGATACTGCCTCGGAAACCCAAGGAGGGGTCGCTATGAGTCAGGGCCAACTCGATGGCAAATAACAACAACAACAGTTGGGGTTTAGTCCACTTTTGTATCCTTTCCTTCAAGGCTCAGGGGTCCAAGATTATCTTCTGTGTCTGTGTTAATTGGTTTCCCTTTTCTGTGTTGAAGAGGGTCTGTGCATCTTGCCGGAACTCCCTCAAGTTTTAAAGATTATTGATGAATATTGAGAAATTGCTTCCCAGAATCCACTGTGTGAGTGGGAGTCTTGGTGTCCCCTTGATATGCTGTACCTAAAACCATGTGCCAGGTAGTGGAGCTAGCCAAGGGGTGAAGGCAGAGGCTTTGGGTTTGTGCCTTGGCTTGGCTGTCAGATACCTGTGTGGCCTTGGGTCAGTTACCTAGCCTGTCCTAAGTCTTGGTTTGTGCATATTTCAGCCCCTATCTACCTTAATGCCTTTGTCCCCTTTCCCTTTAGGATGCTGCTTTGCACTTTCTAGTATAGCAAAAATAACATTATTTTACTTTGTTGACTCAAGCCATGTTTCAAAAGCTGAAGCCTACCCACTTAAACCAGAAAACCAGGGCTCAGCACCTCTACCCACTGTCCTCCAAAAGACAAAGAGACAATAAAGATTGACATAGACAGTCCCTTGAGTTGCCACATCCCAGGCTTTACAGTTTCTGCGGTGCCTTTGGGAGTAGCACTGTGAGGGCCCCCTATTGGGAGTACTGGTGGTGTGTCTGAGATGTGCTGAAACCTTGCAGAGGGCGTGGACTAGATTAGAGTTCTTCATCCTGCCCCTCTGCTATCTCCTGCCTGCCCTTAGCATAGCTGCCAACACCAGTTCTCTGTGAGCAACATGGCTGAGCCTTTGCACCTGGCCATTGCAGGGTTGCTTTGAGTTGGTGCTGGGTCGACGGCACCTAACATCAACAACATGGTACATTTTTAGGCTCTGATTTTCCCTTTGCTTTCCCTCAGAGAAACCAGTATCAACCATGCCTCTTGGCCAAAGGGTAAGCCATGGTACCGAGTGCTATGGGGATTAGGCCTCTGGAGGGGGACATTGTCTGGAAAGTTCCTCCTCCCACCCCACCCCACCCCACAAAGGGAAGAAAATATATAAGAAAGCTTCCATGGTGTTCTTTGCTCCTAGCCCATGATACACAGACTGCAAAATCCGCAGCCCTGTGTAATCAGTGCCTCAGCTTTGTGTGTTTCCTGAAAGCTGGCTCCCTCCCAGGACCTTAGTTCTGTTGTGGTCCTTTTTTGCTCCATGCTGGTAGGTGACTTTAGTACCCTTCCTATTTCCCTACTTTTTAAAACCCCAAACCCCGTGTTTTCTTAAAGATCAGTGCACATCCTGTTGTGCTACCTTTTCTCCCTTCTTGTCACCTACCACCTTTCACACACTGTCCTGCCCTTGTCCTCTTTGCCAAAACTCCTGCAGTGTAAGTTGCAGCCTCACTGTGGGCAGTCTGGCCTCTTGTTCCTTGCTTGCCTCATCACTGTCCCAACCAGGCCCCCGATTGCTCTGATCACTCCATGGGCCGTAGGGCTCCAGAGTCACTAGCACAGATTGCCCATTTGGCCTGTAACCACCCTTAGTCCAGTGTTGTTGCTTAAGGTTCCCCACTGTGCACCTGTGCATCGACCCTCTACTTTCTCCCCATCCACATAACTTTTGTGTCTTTCTGTCTGTTGTTCCCTTAGACTTCACACATCGTCATAATCAACCTCCGACCATCCACTCCACCTGCTGGCAAAATCCCAACTTTGATCATTGAAAGAAGGCAACCAGGCAGATGAAAGTGCAGCCAGGCCTTCATTGCTGGGCGGCCATATCAGTGTGTTTTCTGTGAGTCTGTTCTGACTCATGATGACTAGGCACCCCTCTACCACTGCCTGTTGTATACCTTTAATCTGTGGCATTTGGGTTCTTTCTACCTCTTTCCCTCTAGCAAATGGCCATGTGCCGTATTTCTTAAAGAAAAGAGAAGCCATCGGACTGTTGCCATCCCAGCAGCAAATCCACATTCTGCACCCATCTTCTGGGACTCTCTTGTTCACTTTTGTATCGTTAGTGTTTAGCTGAGTGCCTAGTATGTAGTTCAGTGCAGTTTTGTGTCAGCTTCAGTGCAGATTGCCAGTCACGTCCAAGCTGCCACACCAGTACACTACCCGAAGGAGTGCAGTTAAAATGGGCGGCATTTGGATTTTCCCAGTGATGCCATTTTTACTCACACTTGGGTATGTTTTACTTGGAGTGAGAAAGAGTGGTAGCATCACAGAGGTGGGGGGAAGTCAGAGATCATGTACGGAGACCCTGCAGCCCGTTTTTACCCTGTGGCAGCTCACAGGCCACTGTAAGATGTAAAAGCAAAATTACTAAACAAAATTATTAGAGATAAAAATCAAGCTTTCCTGCAGGGATTTCAATAACCAACCACGTTTTTAATAGTCACAAGCAGATTGCCTGTAAGGATGCTTGGTATGCTTTAATTGGCCACAAGATGTCACTCTTGCTCATGTCAGTGTGACTCACCATCATTTCCTTCAGGGAAAACTATTGGAAGGTCAGTAGGCTGCCATATTATCTATTATTCTAGATTTAACCTTGAAAAAGACCGATTTCTGCAAATCTAAAACTGCAGCAATTCCTCCCTCAAGAAGAACCATGGTGTGGCTGATGGAGTTCTCAGTCTGATGACTGCTTCAGTAAGGGGGCTTTGCAACTCTTTAGCTGGTGTTGATTCTGAAAGCACTTGCCTAAGGTATCAGTTTCTGTTTTTAACAAAATAGAGATTAAGATTCTTTTTTATTCCCCCCACCCCCTAAATTATTTGCCTGCTTTCCCATCACAACTAGAAAAGAGAAGAGCAGGAAAGGTTGGGAGCATAGCATGGCAAGAAGCAATTAAATATAGTGTGTTCGCCAGCTGGAGCCGCCATTCTTCCAGCCGTAGCTCAGAGGTGCTTCCTAAGTGTCAGGTGTTTGTTCATTGTAGCTGGAGGAGAGCAGGAATGCTCAGAAGCAGATGAAGATTCTGCAGAAGAAACAAGCCCAGATTGTGAAAGAGAAGGTCCACTTGCAGAGTGAACACAGCAAGGCCATCTTGGCAAGAAGCAAACTTGAGTCTCTCTGCAGAGAACTTCAGCGTCATAATAAGACACTAAAGGTTAGTTGGTTCTGCACAATGTCAGATTAATGCCATTGAATCATTCTTGTGAAGAACGTTGAAGTGGCAAATGTTTTGTTACATAGGAATTCACCACAATTAAAAAAAAAAAAAGTTCATTTTTCTGTTTTTCCGAAGGTTTTTTAAATAATCCCCTCATATCTGTTTGAAATCGGTCATTGTCTCCACCTGCTTTAATGGGAATTAGCTGGGATGGTGGCTGCTGGTTGGCAAATCCCCGGGACATCTGTGCTGGTAGCACAGGTTCCTGAGAGGATGGCTTTGTGGGGCCTTGGAGGCAGAGGCTCTGCCTGGCTTGCTGTCTGCACATGCTGATGCCATGTGGGAGGTCGCTGTGAGGCTGAGCCCTCCTCTTAGTACGGAAGTGGCGGTTTTGCGGATAAGGAGGACCTCGTTAATGGCCTGCAGACCTGATCATGGGGGATCTAGCTGAGCCTGATCCTTACGTCCATGGCGCTCCTGCTGAGAGCCCTGGCTTAGGCAGCTCCGTGGGCCGGTTTTCTCTGACCACTGATGTACTTGGTTGCCATGGCTCCCTCAGATAAACCATGAAAAGCTGAGCGGAAATGAGAAACTTAGAGCAGCAAACCTGAGTCAGACTGAATTTGAGAAGGGAAAGCAGGCTGCTGAGCTCTAGTGGGGCTGTGAACCGGCTGGATTGCCAAACTCCCCCTGCCCATCCCCACTCTTCAGTTGCTCAGTACTTGGGAGAATAAGTGCTTCAACCTGGGCTGCTCGGAAAGGAAGAGGGAGCAGGTACCAAAGGATTCATTGCTTGTCCGCAGGGGAAGAAGGACAGAGGCAGAGACTGGAAAGACTGTTTTCTTCTCTAATGGGCTCGGGCTTGTCCTGTGGGGTGGCTAAGTCGGTGTACAGGTTGGTGCTAAAGGGGCAGGGAGGCCACATATTCTGACCTCTAATCCCACAAGAGGAAGACAGAATGATCATCAATAGCCCAAGGCCTGTTCTTGTGAGGCCAGACTCCCTCCAACTCTTTCTCCAACCGTTCTTCCCGAAGCACCCACCACCTCTCTCCTGGGTTCGATAATTCGCTGCAGTGGCCACACAGAACTCACAGGTTATGAGGTTTATTGGGGAAGCACCAGGTTACGATTCAAGTTCAGGAAAAACGCTCAGTCTCCCAGCCCACGATCCCTCAGCCAACAGTCTCTATCTCATAGTCTCTTTCCCAGCAGTACATGTCCCTTGGTGTCTCACTCAGCAATGCGTGTCTCTTGCATCTCTTTCCCAGCAGCGCGTGTCTCTTTCAGCAGCACGTATCTCTTTCAGCAGCACATCTTCCTCAACCAGCAGTCAGAGAGAGTTCTGCCTCTAGGAGGCCTCCTTTTGAGCCCTGTAGGGTGGTCAAACTAGCCAATCATAGCATCAGAACTCTAAGCACCTGAGAGAGAGTGGGGCACCTCCCAGAACATTGTTTTGTGCTACTCCCAACAGAAATACTCCAGGTGGACAACTTTAGCAATCAGGAGCTCCTCGGTTGCTCATAGCAAATCCCACCTTGGAGTTTACAAAGACTTAAGGGTAGAAAAGCCATACTAAGTAATTTACTACACCACAGTTGGGCTATAGTTTGAATTGAGCAGCCTCACCACTCAAATAGCCATCCTCCCAACAACCAACCGTCAGGGCCCTAGAGTAGAGGATCACTTAGGAAATGGATCCTCTCCTGCTCTGGGGAAAAAAAAACAAACTCACTGCCGTTGAGTTGGTCCCAACTCATAGTGATTTGGGTTTCTGAGGTGGTATCTGTACAGAAATAGATTGCCCAGTCTTCCTTGCAAGGAGTGGCTGCCTTAATGTTGCTTCCTCTGGTTAGCAGTTAAATGCCTTAGGCACTCATTGTGCCACCAGCAACTTTTTCTTTGCTTTTGAAAGCTTCACTTCAGATATGAATAAAAGCAAACCAAAACCAAAAACCAAACCCACTGCTGTCGAGTCAGATCCAACTCATAGCGATGCCTCCTTGGGTTTCCAAGGTGGTATCACTACAGAAGTAGATTGCCCAGCCTTCCTCCCGAGGAGTGGCTGGTGGGTTTGAACTGCCAGCCTTCTGGTTAGCAGTCACTGCTTCCATTTTTTTCCATGGCACACATCAACATTTTCATTGGACTGATAACCATCTAGAGAGAAAAAGTTTTCGACATTTCTATCCTAGCAAGAGTTGAAAGTGAGCTTTTAAAAATGAGGAATCCATTTGTCCTCTTCCCTCTAGGGAATGGAAGATGTGACCAAAAAAGTAAAGCTCCACAGGGTGACCTCGCTTCAGGCTGAACCACGATGATATCCTGCCTAGCCAGTGAGGAGGGTGCTTGGGGAACTCACATGTGGGGAGAAGTGTCTTTTGATTTCAGGGTAGTGAGGTGTAAGGTGGTCAGTGAACACCACTTGGTGGTCTAGTGGGGTGGTAGCCTCCCTCTGAGTGCCTCTTAGTCTTAGGAGAGCTGCTTGTTTTCAAACGAGAGCCTACTAGGAGGGCTTGTGGTTGGAAGCAACATACCAGAGCAGTAGTAAATAACCCCACAGAGCAGAAGTGTCTTGATGAGTGTATTATTTGTAGGTTTATATGTTGACAAATACTGTTTTGGTTCCTAAGGAAGAAAATATGCAGCAAGCACGAGAGGAAGAAGAACGGCGTAAAGAGGCAACAGCACGGTTCCAAATGACATTAAATGAGATTCAGGCCCAGCTGGAGCAGCACGATGTACACAATGCCAAACTCCGCCAGGAAAACATTGAACTGGGGGAGAAGCTGAAGAAGCTCATTGAACAGTACGCGCTGAGGGAAGAGGTAATGATGTTTTGTTGGTTTATTTAGACAGCTGCCATTATTGGCAAAAACTTTTCCCCACTCATTACTCATTGAACTCTGTGGTCCCAGGGTATTAGAACTTGGGTATATGCACAGTGGCATTGGGCAAGGGAAGGCCCGTTGCCGTATCAACAGAGGGATGGATTGATGGCCAAGCCTTTGGTGTGTTTGGGTAAGTGAGGGGATTTCCAGTAGACACGTGTCTTCCATCTGATGCTGAAAGGATCCATGGTTACTGAACTTGGTCATTGGCCTCCAGCTAAGACTTTTGCAATTATAGTACAAGCTAGTCTGGAACTTGAGAGGTGGTGTCTAGATCAAAGCAAATGGATGATAACCTGTTTTTTGAAGCTCCGCACTTTCAGGAGTCCAGTGGGCAAAGTTTAGAGGCCTTGAGTTTTGTAAATGGTACATTCCCCACCTTGAAAACTGGTAAAACATGCTTTTGTACCCCATCCGTGAACAGATAAAAAAGCTTATTTAAAAAAAAAAAAATTATGGCATCTTTGTGGATTATTTTATCTAGTTTTCAACTCAAACTTTAGATTATATTTATAGTTTTACATGGGCCCTTTTCAAAGCTGTTAAGGGTTGTTTATTTGTTCATTTGAAGAATTTTTTCTTTTTTGAAACCACTGTCTCCACCTTCAGCTTTTTTTTTTTTGCTTTTATTGTGGAAAATTTCAAGTTGAAATAAAAGTAGAGAGAACACATCACATGGCTTCAGCAACCTTCACAGCATCGTCTGCGTTCCTGCCACTGCCTTGGATTGTTCGGGGGCATGTCCAAGATGGCAGATCGTTCCGTTCATAAATATTTGAGTGTGTATCTCAAAAAGCTAAAGGATTCTTTTTGAAGCATAAGCACAGTACAGTTTTCACACCTAGAAAAGTACAATGATTATTGCAATAATATCTTGCTTAAATTTCTCTGTTGTCTCCTTTCTGTTTGAAACTTGTTTGAATCAGATGCAAATAAAATCCATACAAATCCTAGTTGACATGTCTCAGGTCTCTACTATAGAGGTTTCGTTCTCTCTCTCTCTCTTTTTTTTAATTCTTGCACTGTGTTTTTGCTGAAGAAACTTTCTTTGTCCTGTATGATGAACTTTTTATTTTTAAATCCAAAGCCCTCAACTTTCTTAATGGTTCTTTTAGTTTGGTTGTGTGATATGATAATCTGTCTCATGGATATAGCAGGTTTTGGGTGTCTGTAGGTTCAAATCATATTACTTGTGAGTTGTTTATTTTGAATATTCTAGAATATTCTCCTTTTTTTGGTCAGAATACAATAATGATCAAATGCAATGAAAGATCATCTCTTCTCTTCTCTCAATTCTTAGATTGCCTTATTGTCAACTAGTATTTCTTTTTCCTATATAGACTTGCATCTAGAGGAGTTAGTATTTCTCCATTTGAGAAGTGACGTTTGGGTTACTTTATGATACGTAAATAACTACTTAACAGTTTTGTTTGAAAATACTGATGACCTCTTACCCAATGGCTAGTATGTGCCAGGTACCAAACACTTCTCATAGAACAACCATTGCCTTTATTTTCACAACTCTGCAGGGCATGGGTGAGCATCCCCCTTGACAGATGGGGAACTGAGCTCACTCTAGGTACATTTGCCCAGGGCAACACATGGAGCCAGGGTTTGACTCCAGCCCATTCCTGCCATTGTATCATGCTGCTTCCAACTAAGAAATGTAGGAAAATTTAATGGGGAAGAAAAAATATTCCGGAATTGTGTGTATGATGAATGGGTTTAATAGTTTGAGCTCTTTTTCTTTTCTTGATCCAATTTGAACCTTACTTTCAATATAGGGCAGAAATAGGAAATGTAACAGAGGTTGTCGACCTGGTTAGCCCACCTCCCACAGGAACGCCTGTAGGGTAGGCCCTGCAGGGGCAGCAGGGTTTCAGCGGGGTGGCGAGTAGACTCTAGTGCAAGCGTAGGGATGGAAGGACCCAGGGTTTATAGTTGTGGGGGTATAAGGAGAAGCAGGACGAGCGAGGCATGGTAACTTGTGTTACACCCCTTGCACGTAGAGTTCCTTTATTCGCTAAGTGATGGAAGGCCTTTTACTTTTCCCGTAGCATATTGATAAAGTGTTCAAGCATAAGGAACTACAGCAGCAGCTTGTGGATGCCAAACTTCAGCAGACGACACAGCTCATAAAAGAAGCTGACGAGAAACATCAGAGAGAGAGAGAGTTTGTAAGTTGTGTTTCTGAAAAAGGAAATTGTCAAAATTGTCACCAAAGCCACTGAAAACATTTAAACTCATTCTTTGTTGAAGGTGGCACCTGGGGCGTACTGTTTGGTGTTTTGCTTTCGATGGAGGAGGGAGAGTGTGGTAGAAATAATTTGAGCTTATACTTCTAATATTTTATGCAAAAACTGTGCTGGAGATAGTAGACAAGTTAGTGGAAAAACCTGCACAGGCTTGGTTTTTCTGTGCTTAGAATGTTTATTTCCCTGCTTCAATCATGGTTGCCAGCGTCAAGATTGTCCCAGTTATTTGGCAAGTTAGACCTGGAGAGCTAGGGGCAATTCAGTTAACATGGAGTTTACCTTAGACTGGTCTCCCATGTACTTACATTTTGCTTTTAAATAAGTAATTTGAACCCAGGTAAACGGGGTGTTTACTTAGTCTGGCATAATTTTCTGATAAAATTTTAACAGAATTCTCTATGCCCTAATACCTCAGCATTGCTCGCAGAGTGTATGCTCAGATTATATTGCCTTGTCAGTTGTCAGCACGCTGTAATCTCACTGGATCCGTATATTTGACCCATGCATGTTCAACGATACGTGCTTAACCAACAAAACAAAGTCAGACTTGATGATAATAATGTGGACTCTGCATCCGGCGTTTCACTCAAGCAGCCTAGGCCCTGAAGGGCGCCTGGTATGGAAGACAGTCCCGAGTGACCCTCATGTGGAGAACATCTCTTGCTGACCGTATGTCTAGGGTTTAGAAAGTGATGTTTTCCATGGCGTGAGCCTTCTGTGCCAGCTGTCAGTGGTACCTGGTGCTCGACTGGAGAACGGTTGCCACTTCCAGCATTGACATATCAGTTTATACACACACACAAACACACACGTGTTACATGTCTGTGCTTTCTGATTGGTTTAAGGACTTTTCAAGGCTAGTCTGGATTGTGTCACTTCTCACTTCAAGGACTGAATTTCACAGCTCCCTGCTGTGCACCTTCCCTATAGACTTTGCTTGGCAAGCCGGGTATATTGAAGTACATTAAAGCCCTCCCTCCTGCCCCGGCTCCCATAAAGTGATCAGAAACCAGGTCTGTTCTCATTGCTTTGTTCCATGCCCTTGCAGCCTCCTAAACCACCCAGAGAAGTTCCAGATTCCAGGCTGTGTTTTCCACTAATAAAACTAGACATCTGATTGTTCTCACCTAACGCACAACAGTTTAACTCCGAGTTTTGTAACCTCATAACGCTTCCAGGGTACTTTTTCCTGGAAGGTGATTCCTACTTCCTAAGTGCTAACAAGAAGAGCAGATCTAAGATCTAGGTGATTGGGCAATTGATGTCCCAGGATATTTCAACCATAGACCAGTGATTATTGCCAAAACAATGAGGATTGAGCCTGTATCTCTGCTCATTTGACATAGTAATCATATTTGTAATACTATTAGTGTTTTGCCAGAATGTTTCTGTTTTCTAGTTACTAAAAGAAGCAACTGAATCAAGGCACAAATATGAACAAATGAAACAGCAAGAAGTACAACTAAAACAGCAGGTAACTTGACAACAGGGGTAGCAGAATTTGCTGGGTCTCTTGGCTCCCAGCCAGAGCCAGCCAGAAGTGGGAGTAGATCACGTGCCTCTCTTGGAAGTCTCCTCTTCCTTTAGGGAGACCAGCTGGTCCCAGTTTTCTCAGGACTTCTCATGTTTTTGCGCTGAAAGTTCTGTGGCCCAGGAGCCCCCTCCATCCCAGGCAAACTGAGATGATTGCTCACCCTCATTGCCAGTGCCCCGTTTCCATCAGCCTAGACAGCCCCTCCTTTTCTCAGTCTGGTTTCCATATGTAAGTTGGTTGCCAGCTAATTGCCAACTAAGGAAAAACTGATAAATCTTCAGGTTTTAGTCTATAAACTTGAGCCACGTGAACTTGCCGATATTTGTCTTTTTTCATTTATAAAAAAGGCAATTTGATGAAGTGTAACCTGGTATCTTCAAAATTTTGTGCTCTGAGCATATAACCTATTGAAAAAAGAACGAATACCTGCCCAATCTCCGTTCCAGGTAGAGCTGTGTTTAGTTTTGCTTCTTTCATTGCACCCTCCCTACTTTTCACACTAGACTTTTTAGGTTGGCCCCATTCCAGTCTCTGTGTGGTTGCCTTGTGAGTAAGGGGAGCAGATGCTGTCTCCTCTCCAAGGGTACAGGAAAGACCGTGCTTCCCTTGGCTTTAGACAGATGAGCTTAGGCTTCTGTCCTTAGATTCCACCCTTTTTCAGTTAACTAGTTTACATTCCATTCAAGGAGTCCTGATGGCACAGTGGTTAATGCCCTCAGCTGCTAAACAAGGTCAGCGCTTGGAACCCACCAGTCGCTGTGCAGGAGAAGGATGAGGCAGTAAGCATCCATAAAGAAGACAGCCTTAGACACCCTGGGGG